CTCTTTCTCTCTCTCCTCTCTCTCTTTCTCTCTCTCCTCTCTCTCTTTCTCTCTCTCCTCTCTCTTTCTCTCTCTTTTCTCCTCTTTCTCTCTTTTCTTCTCTTTCTCTCTCCTCTTTCTCTCTCTCTCCTCTTTCTCTCTCTCCTCTCTCTCTTTTACTCCTGTCTCCCTCTATTTTTCTCCTCTCTCTCTCCCTCTCTCTCTCTCTCTTTCTCTGCGAGAGTGTCTCCTGTAAGAAAATTTTAAAGCAAGAGTCTGGTGTTTTTTTGTGTGAGTGTTGCTTATTTGAAGAAATAAAATTAAAACTTTGGATACTTGAAATATCACAAGTATTTATTTTTTTAAAAATAAAATGTATTAACATAAATATTTATGAAATAATTGTTTTTTTTTCAGTATCCTGATATAGAAGCTCCTCTGGAAAATGTAATGAAAGAAATAGCTTTCTATTCAGTAGAAGATGGAGATCGCATTGCTGTACATTGGAATTAAGGAATTTTGAACAGAAGTGAAATGTCCGTCCGTATGTGCTTTTTTTATGTCCTTTAAGGAACATCTTGTTCTTCCGTTGCTGGTGAATGCCACTCTAGGAATCAAACACTAATAATCTGGATAACTAATATTTTATACTCTTAGAAATGTAGGAGAGCTGTATATAAACTTTTTTTTACATAAAGGTTTTGTATTATTTTTACAGCTAAGCTTAAAGGTATATTATTACTTTATAATCTAAATGGTAACTATAAAGTCTTTAATGTTAAGAAAAGAGCCCAGTTTTAAGCAGTATTTAACTTCTCACAAATGAATCCACTATTTAGTATTATGTAATATTAATGCAGTGACGTAGATCAATAGCAACTGCACAAGCAAATGTGATCCAGGATGTCCCAAGTTTTTTCTTATTAGTTTCAAGAAGTCTGAAGAGTATCTCTCAAAGGGCTACAAGAACACTTCATGATCTTACATTCCAAGAGCTGGATGTTGTGTTCATCACTCACACCCAGTTATTGCCTAGATCACTTACAATTTTGTGGCTTCATGAATGAAGTTTTCTATTTCTAAAAGAAGGAATGAAAATTTAAAGAATGATAAAAAAAAGTGTTGCACAAACTTCTGTGTTAAAAATGTAGAAGACTTATAAAATAGTACATAGTTTGAAATAATATTAATGGCTTGTAAAACTTTTCTTCTCATTCCACTCATTTCGTCATTTATCTTACATTCCCAAATGATATTTTAAAATAAATTACTAATACATTTCATTATTTCTTCTGGACACTCTTTATCATGATAATTGCATCATTGACTATAAAATTAAGTAATTAAAAATGCATTCTGATGTATGAAATTTGTAATATAAAAGAAAGTCATACACAATATTACGTAATCATATCAGCTTCAAATGTAAAATTACTACAGACACTCCTTTCAGAGAACTCATATCTTTGACTTTCCAATTAAGAACCACAGACAAGAAAGAAAAAAATGCTATTAAAATATTAATATTCTATTCAACAAGAATATTAACCCTTTGACTGCTACAGGCATGCATAGAATGACATATGTGTAGTGTGTGTTATACGTATGGCTGTCAGCCACAGTAACTTGGAGATTATGGAGTAAATTCAATGTTAAATAAATGCAGACTCATAGAAAGTTTTGAACAACTCAACCACTAAAGGCAAGAAACAAAAGCAGAATGAAAACATGTGCTAGGGGAAACCTAACAGAACTTCAAGGACTCCAATGTTTTGCAGGAATGAAATGTAAACAGCAATTGTAAAGTGGCAGTGCAACCATAAATTTCTTTTTCTGAGGTTGTCTGGTGAGAGGAAGACTTCCTAATCCTCCTCAAAGCTCACTCTAGTGATGCAGAATGTAAGAAACCAACTTTAGTCATTCCTACATAAAGGGCACTGAACCAGACAGTATGCATTTATAATGTAGCAAAACCCTGAACTAACTCATAGAAATGTGAGGCCTGCAACCCACAAGGGCATCAAAACATCAAGTTGGTGAATCAGAGAACCACACGTAGATGCCATTAAAATCATTCCAGGAATCATTTGGCCCTCACAAATGGCATCAGGGGGAGGGAGAATGGCCTCACATCTCCACTCGTGTAGAGTCCCGTGTACAGCCTGACTGCATGCACTAACATGTCCCGAGGCCTGGAAATTTTCCATTTGTCAACACATCCAGAGTAGTCAAAGGGTTATTTTATTATACTTATCACAATAAATGTCTTTTTCCCAACAATATTGATTTTTAATAACAAGGCTGCTTTTCAAACATTAAATGCTATATAGTAGCTGTGTAGTGGTGGCTCCTGAGTAATTGCTCTGAACTGGGTAGATTTAAACTGGCGGATATGTAGAATGAAAGTAGCTCCTCATTCACACAAGAAATTCCTCTGCAATTGCTAACATGACTGCTACATCCTTACCCTACGTGCCCTTCATCCCACTGTAAAATACCCAATCTACATTATTGTTGCAAGGTCGTATTGCTTGAACAAATCATGTAATGCCAGTGTCATGTTAAACCTCTAAATTGAGCCGAGCCAATCTGTCTCCGTGATGTGATATGGTGTGGCGTTTGGTAGCCCAGGACAGACAATGTATGAAATAGAATAATTCTACATAGAGCTATGACTATGTATAATCAACCATGATGGTGGGATTCTCTATAGTGTTGCTCCTCACGCTTTGCCTTGCGCTGTGAGAATCTATATTTCTGGTAGATACAATTTCTCTCATTGTCATGAGGCAAATTGAAAAGTAAATGTGTAGACAAAATCGGTCTCCATTTCTGCTGACAATAATTTTACAATGCAATGTTGGTCTGTCACCTTCAGGACCTCCCTTTCTATCAATGGTAACTATCTACTTCTTCATTGCCGACATTACCTCTGCACATCTGGTGCTGGCCTCCTCAGATGAGCACAACCATCTTATTGATATTGAGTGTTTTGAAATTGTAATGCCTTCACACAATATATGGAGACCTGAGCCATTATAGTCCACGAAACAGATTCTACGCACGATCAAGCAGTGCTCTCTCTGCAAGTGCGACTCTTGCTGCCAGTGCTTCTGTGGCCCATTTGCTTTTGTAACTGTTCCAAAATCAATAGGCCCAACAGCAGGAGAGCATATAAGGCACCACATTGCAGAATGAAGAATCAACATCTGAGGATAGCTGAGAAGATTTAAGGGAAGACAAAGTCGTTAACAATTCTTTTGTGCTGAAGAACACAAAAGGGGTATGAAAGAGCAATAGAATGAAGGGCTCCAGATGTGTTCTGACCTGTGATCTGCAAGGAGTGGCCTGGGTCCAGGTATCTGATGTTTTTTATTCTTTCTTTACATTAGTGCCAAGGAAGAGGAGTTCCCTTCCACTGCAACCCGCTCAGCAAATTCAAGTGACTTGCACATGCAATAGTGTATATAATATATAGGGTGAGATACCCTTCATTTCTACCAGTTGACAATATTTGTAATAGAACGTATGTGCAAATGTCAAATTCTGATTCCATTCAACTTTGAATTGATTATCATTACATATCAAGAAATTCAAATAACAAAATCGTTAACTGTGCTGCAAGTTTTTAAAATAACTTGTGGATACTTTTTGCAATAATGATGCAGTGTACTCAGATCTTTTTGATGGTTTTTAAAATGTATCACTTGTGTATTGTGCACCTTATATGCTATCAAAAAGGAGGGGAAATGACTTTTCTATGCAGTATTCTATGTGTACACAAGTGGTTTTTGCAACAGTCAGTCACATTTACTAAAACTTTTCAAATGAATGGAACAGAAAACTTTTGGAATGAAATGCAGGAGTCTCCAACCATGGTGAAATTTAACTTCCTCCAGTTGAGTTTGGAAAAACATTTTGAAGAATTTTTCAACAGCTTTGTGATTAACTAACAATTCACATCATGATTCTAGCAACAGCTGTTGCAATTAGAATCTTGTTACTGAACACTGGATAAGTAAGCAAAAGGAGAAATCTATTAGAAGCTTGTCTTCCCTTTGAAAAGAGAATGACTGAAGTTTTCAGTCTTAGGCAAAGTAACTAAACAATTTTCAGAATTGCGTTGTAGTTATAACTTTCAGCACAAAGATATGTGTGTAGCACACATTATCATCCTCGTGAGCCGCCACAGGTACATGTATAGGATAGTTGATCACTGATGTTTAAGGACATTTCATCTTCAGATGCACAGAAACAACTTTTGTTTATGACTACTCTGCTTTTATCTGTCAATTTTTATTTGTTTGATAATAGAGAGAAAAATGAACGATCGAGAATTGTTTTTGCTATTCTCTATTCTCCATTATACTTAGGTAATTTTTGAGCAAAATTATTGAATTTAGCATAACAAGCATTTTCTGTGATTCATTAAAAGGGGACATATTTTCTTTTATGAGATGGAATTTATTCAAGGTACTACAGTATACCCTATTAAAATATTTAACTTTGTACAGAAGTTGAAAACCACAAATATTCAATTCCTTTTAAATAAAATATAAGTAAGTGCATGGTGTAATAAAGGCATTGTTACAAAAATTATCTGAACAATAATTAATATTCAACACTTCGAAAAATATTTCTACATTTTCTTCAAGTAGCTGTATGTTCTTATGTTAAAATATGAAAAAAGAAAATTGTCTAGTTTTGCTTGCAAAAAATTTTTTGTCTTCAGTTCAGTCTTGTTCAGTATGAAGTACGTATCATTTGTGAATCTAAAACTGCAAGAATTTCATCACCAAATATCCTTTGAAACAATTCAATCAAAGGTGTCAGTCAAATACTGTAAAACAGTTAATTTCAAATAACTTAAAAATTTGTCACTTGAAGTAAAATCAAGTTTTTGATGAGACTTTCACGTTGATGTATATTGATTTGGTTCTAGTGTTTTAAGGATGTGACATTCATATGTGAGAAATGCCAAAATATAGTGGTATGCGTGTGGGTTAGGGTGGTGCATGACACCGCGTCATGTCAAGTCAAGTCAGGGCCCCCAAAGCCCCTGCCAACGTACAATAAAGATGGAGTTAATGCTCAAAAATGTTTTTAAGTTATCTTGTGGACAAGAATTTTGTAACATAACTGTACTCGTCACCAAAATATTTAATTAAGGTTATTCCTTATTATTGCTGCAATTGAAGTAGGAGAATTATTTCAAGAAATGGCTACCCCTAATAATAAGAATAAGGAGAAAAAGAAGAACATTAATAATTCTCAGAAAGACCCCTGGTTAGTCTGTTTTCCCATCTCAATCAGCTGTGGTACCTACTGCATGACCAGGGCATGAATTCGTAAAAATTTTCATTTGTACACTATACGAGTAAAACTGTCAATAGTACAGAACAAATTAAAAGCAACTTTCGTTATTTGTGCTTCAAAGATATATTTGCATTGTTGACTTTTACTTTGTGTAGTTTACGAATAAATATTTTACAAATTCATTTTCAGAATAGGAGCCCAGGAATGAGATACTCAGTAGCATAAAGTGGAGAATGATTTCTTCATCGATTAAATCTAATTTATAATGTAAAGCACAATTAGGGACCTCATTTGAACCTGCACTGGCGCCTTTGAGAACCTAGCTACCGTGTAGAGTGGATCTTTATTGTGCAGTTGCCACATGACATAATTGTGTATAAGGATGTTTATCCTTTGATTCTCCCTCAATTACATTTCCGTTAATAACAAACTTGGATGAGAATTACCTGTTCTAAGAAAGTAGAAAATCTTTGGAGATATTTGAGTAAAGGATAATTGTTAACAAGATTTGTTCTTTATTTTTGTTTTTAAAATGTATTGTTGCCTGCTGAAAGCATGGAAATTCAATGTGTAATAATTACAGATATGAAATATATATAATATTCTTGGACTGGAAAATTAATTAACATATTCATTTTTTCATTATCAACTAATTTTATAAAATTTCGTCATTTAATGCTGTTATAATAATATGGTAAAAATAACAATTTTTAATGAATATTGAATGGTAGGGGAAATAAAGTGAAGTATAAAATTCAACTGGAAGTTTGTGAAAGGCTACTTTAAGGCTGTTTGGGTTACAAAAGATAAATTTGGATTATCAAAAACTCAAATGGTCTTGAAGCAACCAAAGCATAAAATGTTATTTTTTACTTTTTGTAACATTCTTAATATCCTGTTGAAGTAGGCATGCCAAAATTTTCATTATTACCTCTCTTATTGATCTGTTTGTGAAAAATGGTTCAGTGTATATATGCAAATGGTTGTGCTTTGTTGAATTTATCTACAGTGATTTGTAGACTGTTCATGAATAAGAAAATAATTTTATAAAATTAGCTTATTGAACAAAGTTTACAGTGTGAAGAAATTTAATTGCCACAAAAAGTAAGAAAATTACAATCTCTTGAATGAAGGGTTATGATAGTTTTGTTCTGTCATTGTCAAATTTTTAAACAAAACAAGTTCATTAGCTTTTTACTTGTCCTGTGTAATAAAGACAAAATCGCTTCCACTTGTTTGCTGTTTAGATTGTTTGTTCTAGTCACTTTTTATTCATGCCAGGAAAGCAAGCATACTATCTATGTACATTTTCTTGAGCTCTTGTTTTTATTTATGTTCAAGGAGTGGGTAATTTGCTTAATTTGTTGGCAACTCTTTAAAATAAAATCTGTAGCTTATGTGCCAATTTCAAATAGTTTCTGTTATGAGGTATTGAATTTTTGTTTTGTTTTGTTTTGTTTTGTTTTGCAATGTTAGCTACAATGTATTCGGATGCCTTGAAGTTAGGTCAGTTGTTAATGAAGAACAATATATATTTTCAGTGCCTATGTTTTGGCCTCTTATTTTGTCTTCATCAGGGCTTTTATTCTTACTGCTCAAGAAGGCCCAATAAACGACAGAAATGTAGGCAAACTCAAGATATAAAGATCTGCCAGAATACATTAACAAGAGGGGTCAAGAAGAAAAAGTTTCTTTGACTATAATACCATCTTATATTCACACTTCAACTATGTATTGTGTAGGATAGGTAGTAAGGATTCTGGGGCTCAAGAAAATTTGCTCAGATGGTACATCTTGAACAGTTAACATTGTCTATAATTGTATATATAAGAATATTAATCAAATGTGCCTTTGATGTAAATGCTTTGTAAATTTATTTATTTTTGTGCTAATGCATCACGGTGGGGACGTAACTTCTGAATCAGTGAGATTGGTGGAAAGAAAGCTCAGTAGTATTGCATTTTTATAAAATGTTTATCAGCTGTTATCTGTTGTTGGAAATGTATTGTGCATGATGTTCCATTGCATATATGTGATGGACTAATAGTTCCATGATTTGTAGCTTTTTCTGTGATTTAATGTTGTCACATGCTTCATTTGCAATGTTGTTAACTGAATTTTGTGAATTAAATATATTTTTCACTGCTGCATGCCAATGTTTTTTTATTATTTTCTTACTTTGTTGAGCAGATTAATCATACAACCTTTTGATTAACATGCATGATTGTTACAAGTGATTCTGTACATTTGGTATGTATATAAAGAAAGAACAAATCTAACCATATACAGAAGAACCTCACTAATCCAAACCCTGCAAATCTGAAATTTCAGATAATCTGAACAAAATTCAGGATAGAGGGAAAAGGAACAAAATAAATAAAATGCTTATTTGTTATATAAAGAAAGGATTTTATAATCTCTGTAGAACTGAACAACAAATTATTGAAACAGAAATTGTTGAAATGAAACATTAAGCGGTAACTGGTGCATATTATATGTTTATGTAGCAGTAATTTTTCACTTAGAACTTGCAAAATCAATAATCTTTTGCTGTTAGGAACTGAATCTGCTTGATGATGCAATTGCTAAGTTACATTGCCATTTTCTCACACTGCACGTTACAATGCATTGTCTGGTAATCCTATAGATGCATTTGTATACGTACGGTACACTTTTTCGGATAATCTAAATAGACCACACTCCCAATTAGTTCGGATTACCAGATTTCTACTGTATACTGATGTATAAGATACTCTATTTCTTTACAGTATTTTGTGAAAAAATTTTGTACTCTATACTGACAAATTAATTATTAGTATTGGATTAGTCTAACAATATGTAAGAGAATGCTCTTTAAGATAAATTCTGCTAGGAGAAAGTGCCACAGTCTGTTATTCATAGTCCCATAATTATTCTAACCAACGTGTCATGTAGACCCTTATTACTTGGGAACTACCTGTCAAGGGCCTTCATAAGCAATAAATAAGGAGCTGCTGAAAACATGATTTGCTAAGTTGGGAGCAGAACACTGTATTAGACTAAGACCCCAAGTCAAAAGCGTTTTCCTCTTTATGCATCTTTCTTCTCTTCCCTTCTTTTTTTCTTTCTCCTTCACTTCTTCATATCTATTTCCATTTTGTCTATTTCTTCCTTCCCCTCCTTTCTCCCTTATTATTCTCCACGTCCTCATTGATACAGCTGTAAATCATTGCATTGGACATTGCAACGCAAAGCTGAGTGAAGAGCAAAACTAATGGGAGGGTGCAACTAAGTTGCTGGGCCCCTTTTCTTGAAACGTTTTAATTTACGTATGACATATTTTATGAGGATATAAATAGACATTTGCTGGGAGAATGGATTGATAAGTTTACAATCAATAAATATGACTGATTTTATCTGAGCAATTTGCTGGACTATTATTTTCGAAAATACTCGGATTCATCATTTTTTAACTTAACCGTATTTTTAAACCCGTTAGGCAACAAACATTTGTATTACACAAGACGTAGTGCATTATCTTTTACAGAAAAATGGAAGTTGCGCGTCGCCGTAGGCCGGCCGTTGAATCTCGGCATCCAGCGGGGGAAGATCACTGCAACCTCCCGCGATAAAAACGTACTATAATTACGGGAATAATAAAAACTGTTGACGCCCCTGGAATAACCAATCAATCATACGGTAGGAGCAAACAAACCGTATTTTGATAACTGTGATTTCGAGAAAAAAATGTCTATTGATGTTGGTGTGCCATTCGACTAGAAACGAAATCAACAAGGCAGGGAAGAGTTTAGAAATCGAGACCAGCTAGATGTGGGGCGTTAAAAGGTCATACCGATAGTTGTCGAACAATACATTCTAGATAGTATAAGATGATGTAGGTGGCATTGCTGACGAAGCTCTGGGATTTGCTCCGAAAAATCTATATAAGAACTTGTTCAAACATCCAAGCCAAACAAGAATGAGAACTCTAAGGAAGCGGCAAGTCACTAGTAGCCAAATGATCTGCTCCTTAAGGAGTTTGTTACAACATGGGATACATTTTATTATTTACCTGACACTAAACATCAGTCGTGAATTTAGATGATAATAGTAATAATAGAAAAAAAATGAAACAATATACAAGGGGTGGTCGAAAAGTTTGTAGCCTGATAAAGAAATCATGAGAGAAATTTCATAACTAATTTATTTTTCAACATAATAACCGTGTACACTAATTCACTTGCGGGCACGATCATACAACTTTCGAAAACCATTCAAATAAAAGGGTTTTGGCTTTGAGTCTAACAAGGAATTCGCAGCGACAATCACTGCATCATCACAGTCAGTTCGACGTTCTTTTAGGTCCCTTTCGAGGATTAGGAAAAGAAAAACAGTCTGATGGATCCAAATCCGGAGAATATGGCGGATGACATAATAATTCGAACACGCAGTCATGACGATTTTGTTTGTCGGTGCGTTGTCCTGATGTAAAAGAACCACGCGCGAAAAAAAAGAACATTTTCTTGTCCGTAAAATATCCACAATGTCATGAGCTCGCCTATGGGGGGTTCCAAATGCAATCTCAATGTTCTGCAATGTTTTTCGGTGATCCTGCGTTATCATATCGTCGATTGCACGCACTTTTTCATCTCTGCCAAGGGTGAAGGTCCTTTCACTCCTTGGCACATCTTCTTCTATACAGGTTCTTCCTCGTTTGAAGTCGGTCACCCAGTTTTTCACTGTTGCAAAAGACCTAGCACTGTCCTCAGGTGTCTTCTGTAAGTCTTCCACAATTTCCTTTGACGGTATTCCCTTCAAATAAAGATATTCAATGAGTTTTTGATTTTCTCCATACTTGCCATTTTACTTACACAATTACATTCAAAGCACTCTAGCGGCAAAACTAATAAAGCTGTGTTCTCGAAATTTTACTTGCACATTCACGAAGGATCCCAATAAAAGCGGTTAACGTCGGTTGTACGAGAGTATTCAAGATATTGCGGTAACCATCTCGTGTTAGAAACTTCACTACCCACCTTCGTATGTGCGCCTGTTCTCCTCGGGGTATGCAACGTGACAATCATCCATGTATTAATCTCGAGTGGTTGCAGCCCCCCCTTTCAGATCATATTTTGTATTGAGCGATCTGTTTTGAATATAATTAACGAAAAGGGAATGTCTTGAAGAAGGCAAAGGACCCTAGGAGGGGCACGGATAGTTCTTCATGTCGGAGCCCTTACAATACAATAACTCCATTATTCAATCCCGATTTTTGCTTAGACAAGGAAAAAAATCCAAATTTGATTCTAAGCTCAAAGGGAGATCAAACAATAGTTGTTAAGAAAATGTTTTGATGCAACGTATTATTTTTTTAAAGTTTGTTTTATTGTTTATATTGGAATTGATTTGTGAAATGTAAGCCACTGAAAAACACTACATTAGTATTTTAGTATTTTTTTGTTTGTTATTCATAAAATCTCAAGATATAAGATTTGAACTAAACAATTATTGGGAGCCGTATCTGGACATAACACTCATTATCAACAAAAATAACAGTTATAACAATCACTTAATTTTTACGCATCAATGGTTGCAAAAACCTGTTGTTTTTTGTTGTTTTTTCATTTAGCAACAAAACATTTTTTTCCGGCATGAGAGAGCAAAACACTCGTGTATATCACAGAATAGTCAAATTATTAATTTATATTTATATGTCCATGAATAATATGCAGAAAAACTTATTTTTTGAAATATTCAAATATTTCTGTTGAAGGAATGAATTTTTTTACGATACATAATGTTCTAATTTTGGCATTGCATACGTGGTCTTTCTGAATAAGATGAATTAGTAGAAGTTTTTCTTGTCCTATCCTCACTCCTTATTTGAACACAGACACACGTTCATGCACTACACTACCACATATGTTGGTAGACCAGTCGTGAAGTTATAGCTTATCTCGTTTGGGACAGTGTTCAGCTGATGGAAGATACCTGGTTGGGGAAAACCCAGCTGGCCGTCGGCAGGTCGTCGCCAGATATCACCAAGAGGGAAGGACACTGTCACTTTCCTTGATAAAAACATGTACTACACTTGTAGGACGAGTGACCATAGCAGTTGACGCGCTTATAAACACCAAATAATCAACCAATCATTCAGTGAGTGCAATGGTCGGGTCGCTCGCCTTTCAGTGCTGTACTGGGATTCAATTCCCGCTCGATCCGTGTACACCCAAATTCTCCGCCTTTTTTTATTGTAATCCCAAGCTTGTCTACTAGAGGGCGAAGGCCATAGTTCCACTCCCAGCTCCTAGAGGCGCTATTTCTTTACGGTAGGCTGTGCCAACCAATCCGCTCGACCTATGAAATCACATAAAATGCGACTCGGCTTACTACTCGTCGCAGTAGGCCCTCTTACTACTGACACAAAATGTTGTGAAATAATTGAAAAATCAGAGGTTTTTATTTTTTTATAATTTCTTTGAATATGTGAGTTAGTTAACCTTATGCTCTTTATGCAGGAATGTTCAGATACTTGTACAAAAGTCAAAGAGTGTCTCAGTGAAGGAGATAGTTTTTTTTATTATTATTTAAATATGTGTAGATAAGCCACCCCATCTGTCAACTTTGTCAAAAATTATAAACGTAATTCTGCTTATCCTAACATGCTTGTAGCAGTTGAGCGCATCTACAAATGTATGTTGTATATTGTATGTTGTATAATGTATATTGTATGTTGTCAAAATTTATTATTAACCTCTTTCGGCCATTAATCTTGAAGTAAAAGGGCACCAAACTCTCATGTAAATATATGTACGCAGTTAGTTCTATGTTAAAAATATTAGACTGGTAGTCACTCCAGAGCATCGTAAAATAATTAATTTACTTTGAATACCCATTTAAACGGTTCGCAATAGGAAATAAAGCCTCAAATAAATGTTATTTTCATACGAAATTATTGTTATAAAAAATGTCTCTGTGTACTTCACCTGACCAATCTATCACACGAGTTTCCTAGTTAATTCATAACTAGATATTCATTCGGTGACGAAGAGGGTTCGCAGACGCAGTAGGCTTTCTCAGGATTCTCCATTTTCCCTTTCTGTCATTCCACCATTGCTCCATCCATTAACATGTAACATGTCAATAATTACCTACCCAGAACAAAATGATTTACTCTCGTCCAAGAATGGCCATACGGCTTGCGCATTCATCTTAATACATAATATCATGTATCATAATACATAATAAGCAAGTGTTGTTTACAACTTCTGTGTAGGGGGGTTGCCTAGTGAGGGTTGAGGGGGGGGGCGAGCAAACAGCATCCGCCGCCGATCTGCTCTCGGCGAGCGTCGAACCCCGTACTTGGACGCGTTAGCGCGCGGTGAGGTGGTTAATGCCGAGCGTAGATTGTCTATTGTGCTATATATCCGCATCTTCTGTTCTACCAGGGAAATTTCTCCCCGTGGACACCTAGGCGCCCCTATCCACACACCCCTGCCGGCCCACAAATAAGCAGACAGTCTGGGCATCTGGGTTCCATTCTATGTCTGGGTGGGACCTTCCTACCAGCTCAGAGCTACTGGCTTTTCCGGACGTTGCCGGAGTCGAAACAATGCGTCGGGTACAAGTCCGTCTATGTTCCGAGTATCGGACCACTGCCACGACGAAACCAAGTGCCCAACTGGGGGCCCCCGGACCGAAGCCTCAGGGGCTCAGAGCCCCCAACCCGTCTCCTCACTGCCTCCAACTTGAAGCTATCGACGTGAGTACCGCTGGAACGAATGCAAACCTGACAGTGACATCGCCTGGAGTTTTATAAGCGGGTTTGAGGTCCGCCACCCTGCTGCCTTCGGCTAACGAAACTTCATGACCAATCCTGCCCAAAGGTCGGTGGCGAGTCACCTACTCACGGCCTCCACCTTGAAGAAAATTAAAGAATCAATGATGATGATGATTTGATGAGATAATAATAATAATAATAATAAATATAAAAATAATAATAATATAATAATAATAATAATAATAATAATATAATAATATATAATAATAATAATAATAATAATAAATATAATATATAATAATAAGGAGCGGATTTTAATGAAATGTCATTTTCTTTTCACTTTAAAAATGTTTTAGTAAAGACAATAATGTCATATTATGACAAAATATAAATGGCCCATGTTTATATGGCATTTTTGCATTTTTCTTATATTTTGTCTAATAAGTCATATCTTACCCTTTCCCGTCATTTTAAAAGCCTTCTTAGATGATTTCATAGAGTTTAATATCATTTTAATGATACTTGCTACAAATTATATTTACGAGACCAAATGTTCCATAAAGAATTACTCAGTAACCTATTCGATTTCTTCGATCAGAAATTGTAATGTCAGCCGTTGTAAGTATGTTATCTAAGGTTCCTGCGACGCCTATCAGCGCCATTATCGGGTCAGTCGATTTCGGGATAACTAAATACAGAGATTTCCTGGTAAAGAACATTCCTAATCAAAAGTCTGCAAGCTAACTTCTCTTAAAAATCAAGAAACATCGATTACTCAGTAACAAATCTAACAGCTTGTGTTGTTCGTCTGAACTGGTGTGAACAGTGACATGCAATTTTCTATTTTTTGTGTATAATACATCGTCCAAAAGCCATCGATATTCTTAAAAATATCAATGTTTTAACGGTAACGTCCAACATCACTTTCAGGTGTAACAAAATTTAATTTAATTGTAGCCGTGATTTTTAATTTATAATGAAGATTTAACTGAAATCAGAATTAAAAAATAAGAATAATGGATGCTCATTGAAGATAATACAAACAGCGGTTTTTTTTTGCACATTCAATGACGATGGTTCCATCAATCGTATTTTAACTTTCATACAAAAAAAAAAAAAACCTTTTGGGATTATGGAAATTCTTCATTCACAATAAAAACATCGAAAACGTAAAACGTCGAGCACAAAACATCGATGTTTACATCGGCTTTAATACATCGATGTTTAAAATATCTATGTTTGTATAAAACATCGATGTTTTGAAAACATTGACACCAATATCGCATTATTAGAAGGTGCAAGAGAGGCTTTTCAGTTTGGCCGCCTCCTCCCATATTCGCTCAAGAGAGAGTGTGGGTGAATGGTATTTACTATTTCCGGGAACATCATCTACTTCGGTTAATTTATTAAGGTCTTTAAGTGTAATATATTTTATGCGTCTCAAGATGGCAGTGTTATATTTGCAATATTTTAGACGTAGGAAGGTCGAACAAATTTTGAACTGTTTTCGGCTGAGCGATTTTCGAAAAATTAGGAATTTCGAAGAAAGTGAGACCTGCATCGTTCTTTTAAGCGACATTTACGCTACGTCCAAAGACAAAATTTAATTAAAAAATGTTGAGTTTTTTTGAAAATTTTGAAAACGTTAAGTCTTTATGTAAAGTACACCTAAAAATAAAAAAAATCCGTTTCAAACTCACAGAGACTCGAGTTTATTTACATCGATCAGAGAGTATCAATTTTGGAGAAAATCGTCTGAACGCTTTAGGTGATAGCATTGACCACAGCCAGCCAGTTTTTTTATTTTTATTTTTTTATCGAGATCCCACAAAACATGGATTCTAACTACACAGTCTGTTACAGGAAGTAATTAACTACATAGAGGAACAACATTTTTTCGGTATCCAGCTGTAAGAGTTTTTCTGTCAAAAAAAAGTATTTTCCGGTGAATAATTAAAATAGTTTTTTTTCTTACGCTGTGAAGCGAGAAAGCAAAAGAAAGGAATTCAATGGAAATTCTGTTTTGGAATGTGAAGTAATCAATATGTGGTAACTGTTTCGGAGAAATTTAGTAAAATTACAAACAAGAGGGGAAGTCAATCAGAAACTCTCATTTGCGAAGTATACAAACATGTTTAAACAAACACAAATCTTATCAAAGGAGTATTTTTTTGTGTATCTCTTCAGCACCATTGAGAGTAATCCCCTGAATTTTTTTCCTTTGGCAATCATGAAACTTAGCCTCCCAAAAGCACCATGCACGAAGGGCGAAAATCTAGGATCATCGGATTAACAAACATTGGATTTCACGTCTTTTGTTATAAATTTGATTTAACGTCTCAATAAACTTCTAAGTAGATGGACTATCGAAGATTATCCTTTAATGTCGTTATCAGCGGGGGATATTAATTTGAACTGAAATTCCAATCTCCCTGATAAGGAAATTGAGTAAGATTGCGCCGCTCACACAAAATTCGTGGTTCGCTGCAGCGCTACTCGGCGCACGCGCAGTGACTTGATGGCGTAACATGTAACCTTCGACACGTGGGACAGGGGCGTGGTGGAGATGGAGATCGAGGCTGGATGTAAACGAGTAGGTGAATGGGGTCTAAATCACTGCTGGTCAATGTGCGCTGATGTACGTCATAACAACGCAGTAGCCACAAGTCGGGAAAGCGAAGCCTTCGCCTTGTCATCGAAACCGCGCGAAAGGTTTGTGGTTATGCTTTCTCAGTGCGTCTTATTAATGTATTTTTGTTTGTGCTCATTCCTGGATGTACTATATTCGAAAGTGAGACGCGGATTATTCATTTTGGTTTACTGTGACTAATAATAGAGTTGGCACTTCCTCGAACATATTGTTACTCAGTGCCCCTCTACCCGTCGTTCATCTACGATACGTTTCGATTTGTGAAACCTGTATACGCTTGTTATGACATTGAGAAAACATTTGTGATGTTATAAGACCGAACGAACATCCACATTTCGACCTTTAATCTGCAGTTGTAATTATGAATGAGTGTTATGTAACGAATGATGCCAAGCTTCATGCTTTATAATTCCCACTTGTCATAAAAAGATATCATGTAATCGTGGGATTTCTGCTTACCTTCAAATCCCAAGTGCCTACTTTGTGCGCCACAGTTTGTTTTGGACATCTGATTGCCACACACCAACCCTTTGGTGCAACCTTTAGCAGATATTTCTGTTTTGATATCACTTGAATATAATTAGTTATTTCCATGTTTTCAGAAATTATGTCGGAATCATCCCAAAAATACGGTCCTCTCGTTGGTGCTTTGGATGAAGGTACAAGCAGTGCCAGATTTTTGGTAAGTTTGGTGTAAAAAACTAATCCATTCTTGAAAATTTTAATTCTTTCTGTGAATTAAATTTTTTTTTGACTGTTCTATGTGTATGCAGACTTTTTTTTCAGGTATTCTCATCAAAAACATCAGAGATAGTTGCTTCACACCAGATTGAAACCCACAGCATTTACCCTCAGGAAGGGTGGGTTGAACAAGATCCAAAATTCATCCTCAAAGTTGTTACTGAATGCATAAACTGTGCAGTAGAATCCCTGAAAGAGAAAGATCTTAGTGTGTCTGATATTGTCGCTATTGGTATCACAAATCAACGTGAAACAACTGTTGCATGGGATTTAATAACTGGAGAACCACTGCACAATGCAATCAGTAAGTATAGTTTGCTTCTATTAAACACTTTTAATGGTCTGCTTTGGATATTTGATTACTACTGCATCCCATCCATTCCTGTCCCAAACATGAGTCAATTTAAATTAGGTGAATTTTTATTATCCATAAATGCCCAGTGTACTTCTATTTATTTTGTATCATGTTTCAAAGTTAAGAATATTCCTAGTAAAAGTTTTTGGTACTATAATTCTATGGTCAATTATTAGAAACTATTTGTATTTTAGAATTTCAATAAATTTCCTGTCATCAGAGGAATCAACTTTTTTGATTAATAGTATAATCTCTTTTTGTTATTATATGGGTCTTACATAGTCAAAATGAGAAGTTAAAACAAGAAAACTGTTATTTCAGAATTAAATGTGAATGCGTATAAAAATGATTTATGTCGAATTTAAAAAAGCCAGCAAATTTGGGTGTTCTGTGAGGAAAGAACCCAACACAATAAAAAAAAATTAACCTTCAATTTTTATTCAATTCAATTTAACCTTCAATGAAAAATCAGAATGGTAAAAATTAATGAGTAAATATTTGCTTGACATTTACCCCCAGTAGGTCAAAAAGCCTGGAAACCCAATTCAAATATTAACCCTCTCACCAAGCTTTCAAATGAGCCATCTCCGTCTGTGTCTTTGGGCATCACACTTTCTGGGAACTTCACAATCTGCATCAAATGTTGCCCTTAATGTCACTTGTCTAACAAACCAACAAAATTTAAAAAGAATATATTTTAAAAATCTTTTTTTGTTAAGCACAAGTTTTAGAAACTACATCTGAAGGTATTTGCAAGACATTTTAAATACTGCTCTTCTGAGTATTGCATTTCAAACTTTCTTTTATTGACAGTATGGCTGGATGTTCGCACTGCTGAAACAGTCGAGCGACTTTTGGATCAAATCCCTGGAAAAGATAAAAACCACTGGAAAAAACTCTGTGGTCTCCCTATGAGCCCATATTTTAGTGCTGTCAAAATTCGTTGGTTAATCGATAACGTAAAATCTGTTCAGCAAGCTGTTAGAGAAAAGAGATGTTGCTTTGGAACAATCGATTCTTGGCTGATATGGGTATGTATGTTTTTGAAAACCTTTGAATTTGTGAAGTATTTATTAAGAAACTATTTTCCAAGTGATATTAGTAATTTATTGTGCAAGACTAAAATATTTAATTTGTATGCGGTGAAGTTTAGCCTCTTAGTCAATTATAGAAGCCAAGGGAGCTAATTTGTAGAGGGAATGAAAACAATTTATACTGTGTGTTATTTTATCAATTATTAATATGCAAGCATAAGTAAGATAGGTTGAATGAAATGTCTGAATACTAGGAAAAAGAGCCCACAAAGGCAGACCTTTCTGTGATGAGTTGAAACAAAACGTGAATAATGAAAAACGTTAAAGAAAACCTGAAGCAATCTGCCATTCTACAACTTAGAAGGTCTCCCAATCAAACTTGTTGCAGAGACAGCAGCAATGCTAGCTCTGAGCAATAGTCATCCGAACCATTGGTTGAAATCGACAACTCACCAACCATATTATTAAAACATGATTGTTCTAATTAATAGAAAGTGTATCTGGTTTTTAATTTCGAAAATTGAACAAAGTATGAACACAATTACATCCAATTTTCAATGAAGTTACTTTCAATTAACTCTAGGAAAGGCAAGAGGTTTATATGGAAAAGTATAATTCATTTTGCAGAGGCAGCACGTTTGGTAGGAATTATCAGTTGTTACAAATTTAAGGGGAGGAATGGTTCTAGGCTGAAAAATGCATGCTTATGGTTTTTGTGTCTTTTGTGAAGCAGTTTCACAAAGAACGAGACAAAAGCACTGGAGTAGAAGATGCAATAGCATGTCAGAGGAGCAAGTACAGAAAAGGTTTCCAGTGTTAATTCTAAATAAACAAATACATTTTCTCAAAAAATCTGAGCAATCCATTGACAAGAGTACATGGAACTATCAGGAGAAATTAAGTCACAATGAAAATTTGTGTAATGTTCCTTTTAAACAGAAATGTACCATTTACTATTGTATTTTGCATTTCTACATTCCAAAATTTAGGCATGTTTGTTTATGATGACTTAATAGTACTATGTAATTTGAATCCACAGGCACACTTTAAAGATGTGACCTATGAACAGATGTTGAAAGTGTTAACTTGAACTTTAAAATTGAATATAAGTAGGAAGGCAATCAGGTGATTTTCAGGAAATGAAACCAATTAAACCAAATATTGCACACCCTTTTCATCTTTTAGGAGTTTTCTGTGTCAAAATTTGGCAAACTTGTTCATCCAGGTACATAGTTCAAAGATAAGTCGGGCGGATCAAGCCGATAATTTTGGTGGTGGTGATCGTGGTAGGGTATTGTCAGGCATCATATGGGCATTGTAGATTTTTGTTAAATAATAAACATATTTGTTGTTATAATGTATATTACTGATGTACTGTAGATATGATACAATACAATACAATACAATATTGTTGTTTAAATAATTACATAATTCAAACATAAATATTTAAATCAGTTTTCCCACATAAAGGAAGGTAAACGAAAACTTTAGACCTAGGGGGTGAGGCATGCCCCCCCCCCCCTGGATCTGCCAGTTAAGTAAATGTAAATTTAGCATTAAGAGAACAGTGTTAACTTTGTTCTCACTGTTCCTTTTACATTGCTGTCTTGGAAAACGCATATTTCGGGAGTTGCTTGGCAGACATAAGAATAAAACGCATTGTCTCTAGCAACATTACCATTTGTTGTAATATCAGCTTAAAATAGCTTAGCCATCATCATTAGTTATCCTGTACAAAGCATTCAACAAATATAAAAAGCATTCAGTAGTGAAATGATTAATAGGTAAATGAAAGTTTGAGTAAATACATAATTGTAATTTAAAATAGACGAAATGGACTTCATGGGATTTAAAACAAATTACTTCCATTTTATACTATAGATGGAATTAATTCCTTTTCCAGATTAATATGCAACTTTGTTATAAAATACCGGGCAGATTAGTGGCAAACAACTTAATATTAAGTTGACAGAGTTGAGTTGACAGTTATTTCTTCATGTAATTACATCAACAATACCGCATCAGAATTCCCACAACTAATTATACAGTTAGCAAATTCAGCCACTGTATAGAGGAGAATTCTAGCCGCCGGCTGCTCTGTTTAGTAGTCTTTTGTAATTCATCCAACCAATACCAGGTGAATGCTGGAGTAGGACCCTAAGAAATGGACATGTACCACATGTGATCTTTTCTTCCTCTTCCTTCCGTCCTCTCCCCTTACTTACACACTTGCATGCATGAACTACACCTTACCACACATGTCAGGAGCTTAGAGCTCGTCTGGGCTGGGGCAGCCTGCTGATGGAGGTATCTGGAGGGGAAAGTTCCTTGCAAGCAGATATATAGGTCGGTGCCAGATCACACCATCCCAACAGGAGAGGAATAGTGCTATCCAGGCATAAAAAGAATTACTAGAGAAATGGGGCTAATGACCATATCAGTTGACTTGCAAGGAAATATCAGTCAAACTTTGTAAGGATGTAGTGTTCTTATAAAACTTAAAGGGTGTAGTTGTTAAAAATTTGGAGGAAATATTCATACCCGAATGGACTGGATGGGTAAAACACTGCCCTCCCTCTTGTAGATTTTCCAGATGCATCACTTGTGGGAGTCTATTCTCTGAAATAGCAAAAGTATTCTTTGAATGGTGCCTTACTTGATTATCTTTCACTTCTGTAATATTGTTCATGCTAACTTTTTATGGTGTGTTAAAACAAAGGGGGGAAATGATTATATTTCAGAACCTAACTGGAGGTAAAAATGGTGGTCTCCATATGACAGATGTGAGCAATGCCTCAAGAACTATGCTTATGAATCTGGATTCACTTCAGTGGGACCCTCAGTTATGCAGGTCAGTGTGTGTCTGATCCATCATTTAAAACTATTTTTACAATAAATAAAAACAATACTGTATTTACCAGACTGAATATCAGATATTCCTATTTTTGAAGAGATCTCCACAGAATTTTTTTTAAATTTTCAACCAATTCTTACTACTTAGCCAAAATAAAATTGCAAATTATTTCATTGACTAGAAAATTGCCTTGTTGATGAGAATTTTAAGACTTATTTCTTGAATTATTATATTATTGTTCCTTGAAATAATTATAATCTTTGTTTTTGTCACTACTCTAATCGTCTTCACATGTATCAATATTTCTTTGTTTTTGGTCTTCCTTTCATTTTGTAACATCCTCTGACTTTTTAGGCACGCTGAATTTGTGTGTTGCTTATTTGCGCTGTATTTGTTGATAGGAATATATTTAAAATTAGTATCTTTTAATGCTCGTATGATCGAGTTGTGAACTGTAAATTCATACATATCTGACCCTACGTTTCTTGGGTATACTGAGAGACAGCAGCAAGTTTCCAAGTTTAGGATTGTTTTTGCTAAGAAAATATTTTTATCATTCTTTTCTGTGGTTTGATGTAAAATGGGAGCGTATGTAATTTTACCCGCCATTCCATCTCAATAAAAAGAGTTTCGCACACGCCAGGTGTCGAACACAGTACCTGCATCTTGTAACAAAAACTTGATATTCCTTTTCACATTACACTTTATTTGATACAATGGCATTTGAGTTTCACTCATCGGATCATTCAAAAACATCTGTCTGAATTGACTGGCAAATTCGTGGAGAATGCTGCGAATACAATTACGCGTTATAGATATGAGAAATATTTTTACCATCTTCACAGCTTATCGTTACCTTAGCATTTACAAGTTCCTTAACATGGAAAGGCAGAGTAAAAATATAAATCCTAATTGACTAGGATTAATCTGTGAATATAAGGCGACTCCACATTTATCGACTGAGATATAGAGAAGAAAACTGTCTTATATTCGGGTAAATATGCTATAATTGTAAACTTTGGAGAGGTGGCATTGGATATTTTGTGGTGCCACGTAGCTTTACCAAATTGCAGTTTCGGTATTTTACAAAAAAGAAGCTTTACATTCCATGTACCTTTCACAACATTTGGTACCTTTTTTCTGAATGCAATTTGCAATAAGCATTTTACAAAATGGGCCAACATCCTAGAATGAGCCATTAATGTCAAGCCAGCTGTATGTCTGCATTGCTGATTCTTTGATTGACTGTAGTTCTGTGATCATGTGAGGAATCTTGAAAGTTTCCGTATAACAATTTCTGGAGTAATAACTTATTTCTAGATATTTCTGATGCAAGTGGAAAAAATTGAAGTATCATCAGTCTCTATAAAATGCATTTACTATAGTAAAAGAATATTTATAAATCATTGATACAGAAAAAATCTTCAGAAACCAAAGATGCCTTTTATGCAGTACTTTTTTGGAGAAATGTAAATAAAACCACTGTGTTTACAAGGTTTTGATTATTATTAATGTTATCTTTTTCAATTTTCTTCACTTCCCAATTATTTAGATACTGCATATCTGTTTATAGTTTGTTTCTAGTTTTAAGTATTAAATAGAAATGTTGGCTTTTTATTTAAAATATTGATTTCAAAGGTCTTTATTGTAAATATATTGAGAAACCAGATCTAAAAAAATAGCTCACATGCGTCCAATAGGACCCTGTGCTACTCCTAATGTTACACATGCAAGCACCACCCTCTCCAGAGTTTTAAAGGAACTTACTTGGTAATTGAAGTTTAAAATAAAGAATACGTTTGGTGGTTGTAGTTGTTTGTGCATTATGTTTCTTTTATAGATTCTTCAATATCCCTACGGAAGTACTTCCTAAAATCTTTAGTTCTTCTGAAATATATGCACCTGTGTCAGATGGCCCATTGCAAGGAATTCCAATATCAGGTGTAAGTTGACATTTTTTCTTACTTGTGCATGTAAAAAAGTTGCAAAACTGTAATTTGTAGAAATATAAATCACAGCTTTCATTGTGCTTAAAAGCATTAAAGCAAATAACTTTTTGTCTAGTGTTTAGGTGACCAGCATGCAGCTTTGGTGGGTCAGATGTGCTTTAAGAGAGGGCAGGCAAAAAGTACTTATGGAACAGGGTGCTTCCTCTTATACAACACTGAATCAGCAAAAATTGAATCATCCCATGGGCTTATTACTACTGTCGCGTATCAGCTAGGCAAGAACACTCCTGCTGTATATGCATTAGAAGGGTCTGCAGCTGTGGCAGGAGCTGCCCTGAGATGGTTGCGAGACAACATTCAACTTCTTGGCGATATTTCTGAGACTGAGACAATTGCGGACTCAGTTGTCTCTACAGATGATCTGTATTTTGTGCCTGCATTTTCTGGACTGTACGCTCCATATTGGCAGCCTGATGCCAGAGGGTAAGAATGAGACTTTCAATATATTAGAATGATTAGAATTGTGTGAAATTGTTCTAACTCGTAAGGAACATTGTGCAAGTGGAAAATACCCGAGAAAATGTTATTTTGCTATTTATTCCATTATGAACATTGTTTAATCTAATGTATAAAAATTAATATTTGTTCGTGCATATTTTATTCGCTGCTGTGCCATTCATCTGACTGCGATAAAACTTTGTTAACTTATTCCATGCATTTGCGTGAAAAATATAGTGATCATACAGTGGAAATCTGCTCGTGTCTGTCATACATAGACGCAAAATGGGGACTTTGTTGATGATTTTATTCGTTTATGCTGACTCAAGTGCCCCTGAACGGAAGCTCCACGCAACCCGCTGAACACTGAAGTATTAAGCACGGCTTCGCTGCATATTCTTCCCCCTGAAATATTGGCCGTAATTATTACTTCATTATCTTGGTCAGGTAATTCAAATGTCTCCAAGACAGCGTCATAGCTAATCATGCTCACGCTTGAGGGAGAAAGTTTTAACAATAGAATACTTGACAGCCATATCCAAACCAGGACATAGAACAAACCCATACTTATAAGAAAGTCTTTTCTATTAAAACTTTTTGCAGAGCGTAGTGTAAAATAGAAATAACATTCATGTGACCAGTAGCATGTGAAGTTAAATTTGTTGCAATAGCATAGCATTGCCAAGTCCACTAGCATTGCATAAAAATAAATGAATGGATGAAATTCACCTCAGACCAGAGTACAAAGAAGCATTAGAAGACATGAACAGAATAATATTTATAGAAAGTTTTCAAATGAACATAAATATTGCAATGAACCTGCCCACCCTTGGGCAGGTACGCCAGTGATGTTTGCGTACCAAACCTACAGGGGGGCCCACAACCTATCATAACACATGAGTGTTTTCGATATAATGGAGGATATCAGGTCGCTTGTGCTAAATTTATTTAGCCTTGGGCTCCAAGCGCGATACCAACCTACCTCCTGCTTCAACTCTAGAGATCTCAAGGGAGCGAGTCACTCTGGATCGGGATGATGCGCATGCTTTTAACTCTTTGAAGCACAGGCTTTTAATTTGGATGAAATAAAGACATTCTCACTACATCAAGGTAGTGTTACTATAGTAAGACCCAATTTTAATTTTTTTGGCTCATTGAATTTTTTAGTATAGGGTGGTACATGCATTTTACCACCTTGCGTGTAGAAAGGTTGAAGTCAGGATTAGTATGTGCTTCATGCTAATAGTAATGGGAATAATTTTTTGGTTTGTAAAAGTTATATGGCAAAGGTATTGTACAGAAGGCTCGTAAATGGCATTATAAAAATGTTTGATAACAAATTATAAAAAATAATTGATTAATGAAATAATATGAACCAAAATGTGTACTAGAAGTTATCACAATAAATACAGAAAAATCAATGTTATCATTAATAATAGAATTAATTTTAACATGAAATTATTGCAATGAATTCACACAAACCAACAAATATATTATAATATATACTACGTTTGAAAGTAGATATAGATATATCAAAGAAATGAACGTATGGTGCTATCTGAATGACAATGTTAGCTATTCTATTGTGTGGCCCAAAGATGACATAATTCTTGATTGTATTATTCACATACACAAGTCTTCTTGTATGCAAATTAGGCCTGGTGCATACAAGGCCAAATTGCTCTAATATTTCAGGCCAGTCGATAAAGCCATTAAATTGCTGATACGTACTTAGATATGCTCTATAAAGCATAATAATCAATCCCAACATTGTTTCTCATAATCTTTATGTCAGAATGTTCATCCGATACTTTAACTATACTGCTCAATAAAATTTAGAAGAGTGGTATTTGTAATGTTTTAGTTTCCACAGTGGAATGCCTGCATGGAATGGGAAGTTCTTGTCTTTTTTGCATCCTGTTTTGTCCACATTATCAGGCATATGTGACTTCACATGTGTTAGTTCATCACTGTTAGTGGTTTTCAAGACAGCTTCACAGTGTGTAGAACTAAAAATGATGTGATTTTCCTGATAAATATTGTGCATAAGTCTGTCTGCCTGTTAATATCCCAGCTCATTCACCCCACCCCACTCGCTCAACCCAAAAGGATTCCAGCCTGTGAACTACATAGCTAACCGTTAAGAATCTTGAATTAGCAAAACACAAAAACAGGAATGTTACTTCAATTTGCTTCCCACTGCTCGCCTCCCTCTATGCTGGACCGATGTAGAAGCCATGTCTCTCTTTATTTCACACCAAAGATATGTGGCTGCTAAGTTACCATAACAAGAGCAGGTGCTCCAGAGTTAGTTGTAGGATAAAATAAAGACCTTATGCATATTCGTTTAAATAATTGAAAATTGGGTGATTTATGCATATACCAATAGAGCATACTTTACGGAGAAAATTTACAGTGGAAACCAGAGCCTACTTATTTTTGTCTTTCTCTTTCAGAGTGATATGTGGAATTACAGAAGATACTACACAAAACCACATTGTGCGTGCTGCTTTGGAAGCTATTTGTTTCCAGACAAGGGATATTTTAGAAGCTATGTCCAAAGATTGTAAAACTCCTTTAATGAAGCTGCAAGTTGATGGAGGAATGACTGTCAATAATTTGTTGATGCAGTTGCAAGCTGACCTCCTAGGGATTACAGTCAGTAAGTTATCTTTTGTTACTTCATGTATTCTGCTTAACTTCTGATTCACATTTCTGATCACTATATCAAATATAGCAAATACTCGGCTCTCTCTAATTGCTTCCTACTAGCCAATTGCTTTCGCTAATCACTATAGCAAATATCTGAGCTTGGAGAGAAGGTGTTGGTTGGCTTGGGATGAATAGGGATTAGGCTCACTTGGGATGAGTATTTTTTTATGTAACATGGCGTCAAACATAGTCACCCGTTTCGAATTGCCTGTGCTTTGTGAACATTATTTGAGAGGTTCTTAGAGGCAGTTGGAAGCTACGTAAGTTAGAATTTGTATATTATTTTATATTACTTCTTTCATTTCTAACATTCGAGCTTTCATTATATGTTTATAAATTAATATTTTAGAAATAATTTAAAATCTATTTGTTAATCCATATTTTTTTATCCATCTTACGAGAAATATATATGCATTGTAAATGTATTGATGTATTTTCTTTCAAGCAATCCGCAAACCTTTATCGAAATTACCCCAATTAGGTTTCTTAGGTCTCTTAAAAAATTATTTAAGTGCAATATGGAAGAAAAATTGCTATCCTTCAGTAAATATCAGTTTGGAATGCAACTTCATGAGTACCAGAATTGCATTCCACCCTGTGAGATGGCAGCTGTGGTTCTGTGAATTCCATTTTATTGTTAGGACATGCTTTAGCTGTATGAAATGCTGTGATAATTTTCGAATTTGTGTTGTTATTTGCTTGAAAATGATTTTTGAAAATGATATTGGCTTGATTTAGTTTTTGCACCTAATGTTCTATGATTTGTAATGAGTTTTAAAAAATACTATTGATTGTGATGTATTAATTCAGAGAGAAATTGCGTTATAAAAAGTATTATGTTACCATTACTAAGAGGGAGAAAGTTTGTGGTCCTTTTAGATCTAGTTAATATATGCATTTTTGCTATGTGAACTGTGTGATGGGTTTACTTTGCAATAATTATATGTATTTCTAAGAGCATGTCCCATTAGTAATTAAATAAAATAAATTAATAATGAAAAGGAATTTTTTAAAAATTACATTGCCTGTCAAAAACCATGAGATATTTTTTATAACGACCTCTATCTCAATTATACCTAGATCTTATAATCGTAGGTAGAGGTAAACATAATATCAATTTCTTTTCTCAGTGCGTCCACAAATGGCAGAAACTACATCATTGGGAGCAGCAATTGCAGCAGGTTGTGCAAAAGGAATTGATGTGTGGAATGTCTCTGATATTCCCCAAGTGCCATGTGATGAATTCAAACCTCGAACAACCCAAGAGGGTAAGCTGTTTCACATTAAGATCACAAATGGAAAAAGATAGTTTATCTTTCTCAGTCTTGAAACAAAACTTTAATCTTCATTCTGGCATACACTTAGAGCTCATTGTTTATTGCTGCATGTTTCTGCCACATTAAAAATTAATTGTTAGCCCATAGACATTAAGGGGGAAGATGATTGTAAATTTAGCTTCTTTTAGTTTCAGTGAGTGGTAGATGGTTTTCTTGTGATTGGAAATTGTACTTGGTTCTTACTTTCTGATTAACCATTTATGGCAATTCTGAGATGTACAGGTGTTGGACAAAATAATATCTACATCTGACATATACTACAAAATATGTATTCATTAACAAGGTTTTAAGCCACCATTTGCTTTTAGAACAGCTGTAATTCATGTGGAAATAGATTTGTAAAGTTTTGAATAGTTTTCAACAGAAAATTCTCCCATTATTGTACCAAAACATCCACAAATTGCTTCAACAATGTTGGAGTTGAAAATTTGCTCCTCACTCTCTGCTGTAAAATGCCCCATAACAGTTTAGATTGGCAGATGTTGAGATCTGCTGATTGTGCTGGCCAGGGAAGATGTTTGATGATATTCTGATGCTCTGCAAACCACACCTGAACCTATTTTACTATGTGTATGGGTACATTATCAGCATGCAATACAGCAGTGTTTGGCAAAAAATGCTAGTCATTGTGAGCACTTTTGTTGAGGATGTTGAGATATTTATTTGCAGTAATCAAGCCAGTGAGGGTAATGTTAAGACTAGCTGAACCCCATGATAGTCATCCAAATCACAATGGAATCTCCCCAGTGCTTGACTGTAGGAAACAGGTAGGCCGGACCCTAGGCTTGTTTTGATGTTCTCCACACATAAACCCAGCCGTTTGTTGGAAACTATGTTAACAATGTATATAGCATCGTAGGCTTTCAGGGCCGGAGTCAATACAAGAGAAGGTTTCTGAGTCATCAATGGTCATCTTTTGCCATTTAATGTCAACTGGACCGCAGCCTACCAGATGGGAAACGTTCTCTTATAATGTAAATGATTCAGTGAACCACATCCTCCCAGTCTTCAAGTGTCCAGGTTTTAGGATCAGGACACTACGTTTTTCACAGCTTTGCGTTGGCTACCATTACATTGGCCATTACAATGGCTACCACAAAGGGTTTTGCAATTGCAATCTCTCCATGAATGTTAGCTTTGTAAAGCCCCCCTCCCTATACTGTTTATGAAAACAGTGTCACTCAAGTGAGCACTCTGCAGACCTTTTGCCATGGTAGTTTTACCTTTTTAATGTTATTTGGTCTGTCAGTTAACTTCAGTTTTTGCCCACCACTCCACTTCTCTGTTTGTGTTTTAATATTATTCTTTGCATGCTGTCATTACTGTGGACACTGTCGCTCATGAAACTTTAAATAATTCAGCTGTTTTAGTCACAGATGCTCTCACTAACTGCACACCATTTGCTCTGTTTCAATGTCTGAGAAATCACACATTTAACTAATAGCGTCTATTCACCTTCGCAGACCATATCCTGTAATATAATATTCAAAACACGACACGTCAACTGTACTACATAGCTGCATTACAGTTTACTCATCAAGTGTGGTACCAACATGCAAATAGATGTACTATATTGCTTGGAGTTCCTATTATTTTGTCCAACCCCTGTATCTCTTTAAAGTTTACTGTAGAGCAACAAAATCCTTTTCAGGAAAAAGCTTTTTAAAAAAAGTCCTTTAGAACTCTTTTCATATTTAGTGATTTTGACATTGTAATGAAAATGAGCAAGATCCATCTTCCATTAAGTCTTATCTTCAAAGATCATGACAGGTGTGCTTTAGCCCAGATAAACCTTTGACCCTTTTGTTTAGCAATTTGTGAATGCATGTTTCAGAGAGAGATGCAAGATATTCACGATGGAAAATGGCTGTGGACAGATGCATGGGCTGGAATGTCTCTTAAAAAAATTTTACCTTGAGAATTATTTTTATTATCATCAGTGGCGTAGCTTCAGTTGGTGTCACCTGGGGCAAAACTAATTGGTACCTCTCATAAATTAAATATAAAAATATATATTACTGAATAGTTTATACATTATTTAATGAAAATAAAAGTATATTTGCCCAAAACATTTATGTATAATATATTAAAAAACTATTGTATGTAATTCAGAATAATTGAAATATAATTTTTAAATAAATACTTATATAATTCCAACTATAAAATCTTTCTAATTGGTCTCAGTCCTAAAATGATGTCACCTGGGGCAGACTGTCCCCCTTTCCCTTACAACTATGCCACTGATTATTATTTTAAGTTACAGTGTATTGTTAATCAGAAATGTTTTGCTTTGTTTCATTTTATGTTTTTTGCTCAGTTAGCTGTTAAGAAATTAAATTTTTGTTTTGGGGGTATCTTATATTAAGTATGTATTGACAATATATGTAGGAAACTGTTAGGGCAGAGAATTAATTTTAGATTATTGTTTTATTTAATGTCTATCCTAATAGATGTTTATTTTTGTACAGTGTGTGATTTCTAACTTGTACATATATATATTTTTAGTGACCTATTTACATATATTTTTTATCCTATTGTAACCTATAAATATATTGTTTTTTTAATTAACAATTTTATGTTTTTATTAATCAAAGTGTAATTATAACTAGAATGAATATAAGAAGTTTATTTTGAAAGTCAAATTTTTAGTGGTGTTTGAAGTCTGAGAAAACAAAATTGAAGTAATTCATTATTAGTTGGCATTTATGTAAGGAGAGGAAAATAACATTAACATTTGCCATGCACCCCAGGTTGTGATGAGATGCAGGTACCTGGCTAATATTGCATAACAAGGAAATAAAGTCATCTGTAAGATGTTCATTATATTTTATTTGAATTTCATTTATTAACATTACCTTTAAAAAATTGGAATAGTTGCTTTAAAAATTGTAGCCATCATGGTGACAGCTTCTTGGAGGTTAAATTGCTAGGCCCTTCAAATATTAAGCAATTCAGTCTATTAGGTGTAAAGTGAGGAGCTAAGAGAACATTTTCATGAGGGCTCAAAGGACTTAAAGAAACATTCATATAATACACAGTGACCAATTGTTGTTGTTTTCTGCTAGTAACAATTTATCTAATGAAGTTTGAAATTTGTCTCATAGCTTCAAATACATTAAGAAAAGAAAGAGAGCTGGAGAAATAAGTGCCAATTTGCGATGTGTTTAAAACTCTTGATTTTCTTTCTTTTCTTTTCTTCCAAAGAAATATTCATTCCTGTAATTAGGTAGCATACTAATGAGCTATGGCTATGCCAGTGCCTAAGAGGGACCATACAAATTCACTAATATAGGGCAAAATGAAACAGACCAGGAGCATTGTTTATATGTTTTTTTTATAGTTGAAAGTCCACTACTGAAACTTAGTAGACTGGGAGGTTCTAGGATGAAGTCCCAATGGTGATAGTTTTTCAACACATTTTTTGCTGGTCTGAACTGATGACCGTCTATATGAAAATTCTAGAGCTGCTGCTGTGATTGGTCATTTGTATATTTTGAATGTTAAAGCTAAAACTTTAGGTGCCTCAAAAGCATTAAAATATTTTAAAATACAGAGGAAAAAAGAAAATAAAAATAAAATTTGCACAGGAAAAACGCTCTCGTTGCACTTTATTCAAAAGTTGCAAAAACATAGGTTAGTAAAACAATATAACAAAAGTCAAAATTAATTAATTTATAATCTTGATAGATGAATTCAGGTAGACAAATACTGTTATATTACAATGTATAGGCCTAAAATAATGGAAAAAATAAACTCCTTGATCTTCCTGTAATTGGGATATGAAAGAGACCTTATTTTCAATACTTTGAATTAACAGCTTATTGAGCTTGCCTAGGATCCATCGCATGATTCTATTTTATTTGTTATTATTATTTTAATTTATTTATAGGGAGACATGCAGAATACAAATCTCTCATGATGTAGAAAGTCATATACAAACTCGCATAACAACTTTCAATCTAGACAAGGAAATCGAGGTTCATAGTTAGTAAACACCTATTGTGTAACACTGAGAAAGATTTAAACATTTTTTTCAACCAAGAGTAGAAGGAAATATAAATATTTTTTTAGAGAAAAGAAGCATTATAAAAGATAAATTTGTAAAAAAATGATTTTAAACCAAATTAGGCCAAAAAAGACCAAATGACTGTCACAATGGTTAATTTTTCTTCAAACCTGCCCATACACTAAAAGCCTCAATATATTCATTAAAATAACATAGGAATTTTCCTATTTTAGGAAACTAAGGACTAAACTAGGAACATCTAAGATCTAGTCATTTTCATTGTTCCTCCTCTCTCTTTCATGGGAGTACTGCACCAATACCTCAAGTAACAGGTCACACGTGATTCTCCCTTCCCTATGTGTCCACTGCTTTCCTTGGGGCTGATGGGCTAATCATCCATGATTTAGAGAGAGATTGAATGTACGCATGTAAGGGCTTCGTATAATGAAGCAAATAATAAAATGTAACTCAATTTTATTATTTGCTTTTAGATAAGAAGTACACCTGTCATACCTATTCCAATTTTAAACCCACAATCCCCATCTTCCACTTTATCTTCCTTTTTGTTGTAGTTGTAAGAAGCATTCCTGACATTTCTTTCCCTTTTCTTATATAATTTGTAGTACACCTCAAAGTTCATACATCCAAGACTTTCCCCTCATGTCCCATTTTTAACAATTCCTTCTTTCTAAACCACTTCATTATCTCTACTGTTGTGATGGTTTTAATATTTAATTTTCATACTATTCTTGTATGATTACGTTGGTGGGTATCATATCTGTCTTTTCCATATTTAGCACCTTCAGAACTTCATGCCCTTTCTTTTGCCAATCTGTTCTTCTGCCATCTTGTTCTTTTATTCGTAAGTATTTATTTCAGTTTTCTCTTCTGGTTTGATTTCTCTTCTCTTGGACTTGCTGATAATATTTTTCTTTAGAAAATTTATAACATATTTTAGATCAATTTTTTTAATCAGTAACTTTTTTCAAGAAAACCTAAAATTTCATTCTTTGTTATTTCTTCACCCTTCATTTTTTCTTGCCAGTGAAAATTGTAATGAAAGGTGTCTACGAGAGTATTGGAATTGAAAACATATTTTTTTCTCTCTCCCAAACTACAGTTCACCATATTAGGAAAGGGAAACTTTTTTTAATAAGTGTAAATGAAGAGTATTTTTAGTGTCATGTGAGAAAAAAATGAATGAACTAAATCTATACATTTATTAACAATTTAATACTTCATTTCTGTAATTAAACTAGTGCTGGTCGAGCTAGTGAACTACTGCCATCGTTCTTGTGGTTCTTCTGCGTCATTTGGAGACGTTTTATTTCTTTTATTAGCTTTCTTCCATTGTTCTTGAAAAATAAAAATTGCTATTTGTAAAGTAATAATATATCGAAGTATTTGACTGGAATAATTTGTAAAATTTATTCAAAAAGGTTACGCATTCTTCTAATTGTATTCCAACTTTTAATTTCACTCACTGGAAAAAAATTAAAAGTTAACTAACAGAGTTTGCTATTTCATTAACGTTGTCGGCGACTGACGCACCCTGGTTGGTTAACCCCCCACTCGCGGACCCGGGACGCCGGTGGCGCGCCGGCGTCATGTGCGGCGTCGGCGGCGGAAAGAGCAACGAACGAGGCGCCAATATGAAGAAGCGGGGAAACCCTGGCGGCGTCCGGGCGAACCCCGCGCCGCTACATTGGTCGCGTGCGCCACAATCGCAACCAATACAGCTCGCCGCGGCATCAAACGCGCGTAGACAAACTCTCGAAGACATTAAACGAAAAAACCCTCGGAAAGTGGTATGCTGTTTCGAAAAGTAACACACAAGATTTTTTCTGTTTCGTTATTTTCGGAAATGAAAATACTTCTGATTCGAAAAAAAAAACTCAAAAGAAACGAAAATAAAATTTTCTATTTCATTTCGAAATCAGACAAAACTTTTTTAATTCACTTTAAAATAGTAAAGAAGATTAAATAATATTTTCGTTTCGTAGTAACTGTTAATCACACTTGTCATTGAATTATATTTGTCAAAAAGTATTATTATGAGTTGTAAATAATGTATTAAATGAATGCATTATTTACTTTAAGCTGATGCTATTTACGTATAATGTTATTAATAGCAATTGCATTATTACTTATGTTAATGTAATTTATCAGTATACCCTTGCAATTATATAGCACAAATCGAAGAAAAGTTACAGCAAAAAGAAGTACTTCATATTCACTCTACGGAAAATCGACGCCCCATCCCCCAAAAAATATTGTTTCACGTCATCCAATATTTTTTCTCCAAAACTGATGCACTAAAGAAGGTTTACAAATTCTGGTGCAATACAATTACTATGCATTATGAACACAGTAAGAAAAAACATATTTCTGAAAATATAATTGAAATATTTTATACTATTTACCAAGATACGGTCTTGTATCGCGTTTGTATAATCTCAGTAATCTTTGCATTTACTAGTAAATTTTCGCACTAAAACCACTATCTTCGTTTCACCAACTGCAAATTAAGGATACATGCATAGATAGAAAATCGCAAACAAAACGACTAAGATCAACCACAAATATATTGTAGTAGGTCTTGCAAATAACGACAAAAAAGGTTCATTGTATATTAACATTGTATTAAAATGAAGAATTAATACTACAAAACCGGTTAACAAGAGCAAGTATCAACACAGCTATGGCTTTTATCAGTCTGACGTAAATTAAATCTAATTTTGTGATGAATTAATGTAAAAACGTGTTGTTGGGGGAGGGGTTAGGGGGGAAAGTTACGGGAAATATCCCTCCCTAGGGCGCACTGCTCCAGCCGAGGGAAGCTTAAACTCCCGACAGGTGTCCCGTCGTGTGTTGTTTACTGCGATTTTTCTAACTTTTGCGCCTCAAGGCCCTACTTCACAGTGGCGTATGTCACTGTCTTTCTCGGTCGTGCCGCTAGATGCGTATCCAGCACTGCTATACGTTCGAGATCATGCGGCGGAGAAAGACGCGGTAAACAGCGACAATGCCACCGTGAAATAGGGCTCTGAGGGGCAGAGTTAGAAAAATCGCAGTGTAGTAAGTGTAAGTGTGTAAGGGAAGGGGATATGACAAGGATTAGGAAGGAAATATCGCGCGCGGTCCGTGGCCAGTTTGTTAGGATGCTACTCCGACATTCACCTGGTATTGACAGAAAAAAAAAACACGTAAAACAGATCAGATTGGCAAAGCCACTAGAATTCTTCTCCTAACACCCGCTGAATTCGACCTAGCCATTTGGCTAGTATCGAAAATCCGCCACCGTCTGGACTCGAACTCTAAGACCTCTCAGTCAGAGACCTTGCAGCCCGAATTGCGAGGTAGACGATTCAACAAGATAACTATTACTTAAATTGTCAAGGTATATTTAATTACATTTACGGGTGAGGTTTCATTTTTCTAATTGCAATATTTTTCTCGATGAGAATTCCTCGTTATTAGAGATCGCAACGTAAAGCAAGAGATGGTCTGAAAGCAGTTTCCTGCTTCCAGCAATTGCTCTGCTTCAGTTTCTCTTGAACAAATGAGATCTTCCAGCCCGTGACTTCCTATAATTGAGGGTTTGGGATTAAACGGTAAGCCACTCAAGAAGAAAAATTGTATATTTACATTTTTTGTTTCTGCTACAGATTGTCCAACCGACGATTGACGAAATGTTATACGACACGGTAATGCATACGGTATCAATGCAATAAAGAATGCATTTTTATGTTGTGTTGATCACCTTGTATACTGATCTCTTTGAACTTCCAATTTCCTCTTCTGTGGGAGTTAGTCAAGGTGAATTACCATTACCTGAAAAGTCGCGCCAGTTTTAACACGTTTGCGCAACACCAAAAATTTTATTTTATTTCAATACAGTAAATAAATATATTTTTATTTGGATCATTAATCTCGAGAGTCAGAATTGCACAACAGTCTTGCATTATTCTAACTACAAAGCGAAGGCGAGAGAATAAAAACTCCCTAAACCACGAAATTTCCAAAACAGGATACTATAAAATCAACCATCCAAAAGGAAATCCAAAACTTCAACTAGCAATTCCTTGCATCTAGTGCAGGTTTTGAAGGTAAACAATTCTGTTAGCATTTATTGACGCATAAAATGTTTTAAATATCGGAATTAACGAGGGGGAACGTAATTATAGGGGTTTAGATTTCCTCTTTTAAATCTAGCCTATTATATCTCTCTTACGTGAGTTGTGAGTAATAACACAACTCATTATTAGTGAATACCATAATAAATTCAAATGTGTAAGAATAGTTTCCAGGAATATTCTTCCTATAGCTTGAACTAGAAAATGCCATTTTGGGATTAGTATGAGGAAAATAACTCCCTTCGCCTTCTCCAGGTATATCAATATGGTTCCTTTATATTTTCAGAAATTCAGAATCACCTCCCACACTAATTAATTGTGTAATTTAGAACAGGGTTGTCCAAGTGGCGGCCCTCTGTACTATTTACTGTGACCCGCGATTGGTTGTCGAAAGAAAAAAATCCCTTTTATCCACGTAGGTCGATGAGAACGATGTGTGTCAAGCGTAAGCGCTCTGCTGCGGTCTCCGCCCCCTTCCCTTTAATGTAAAAATATGTTAAGTTTAGATTTAAGAAGTTTTTTGCGCAGTAAATTCAGAAATTGAAAATTGTCCCAACGTATTTCTCTGCGTTATGCATGATACATCCTGATATAACGCATGGTTCAATTCCTCCCCCCTCCCCCCGCCCCGCTTCAGAACAACCTCAAACTGTCGAGATATTCAACACGGGAAAGTCAGGTAAGTGGATCGCCCAAGTGATGAAAAGATGGCTCGTAACCATTGTATAGTTTTTCGATGTGGCCCTGATGTGGAATCCATCTTGGTTAATTCAAAGGAGCTATATTTTGTAAAAGAGCATTAACTTGTCTCTAAAGAGTCAATTAATCAAAATTTAAGTGCCTCATTTATGAACTACACACTTAGAAATGGGTGAGTGAAAATTGTCTTAGCCCGGATTAACTAACAATGAATCAATCTTTGCGCCGGAACGTGTTCTGCCAAGCACCAATGATGATGGATTGCTTTCGAATTAGGCACTTATGACTTCGTTTTTCGAAATTTCCCTCCGTGTGTTCTTTCGGAAGATGTGATCAACTTTGACTCATCTTCATGACCTAGTTTGTAAAAATTATTCTGAGACACTGAATAATAAAACCAGTTGACCAGTTGCAAAAAGTCTCACATGTCTTGCGGCCAGCGAAGAGCTATTTCACGCCACGTTCATTCAACATATGCCTCTGCACGTGTTCCAAACCCAGAATAGTATGATGCAACTTGTTTATAATGTACTTTGAAAACGAGCGACGTCAGGAACTAGTTTTCAAGTTTGTTCGAGTGCAATAAAGTAACATTATACTCGTACATTTGTACGAGTTCACACTCTTTTTTTTTATCAGCGTTATAAAATATAAGAACCCCAATTAATTTTTGAAACGATTTCAAAAGCATTTTCGTGGTTGACAAAATATGTCGTTGGTTCTAATATTGTCTGTATTTATTATTGAATTATAGGAACCCATTAATAAAAGATTGTCCTATGATTCAATAAGACGTAATTAAGACGTCCGGAGAGAGCACGGGCAGGGGAGGCAAGCGTTGAGGATGGAACAGTGAAGACGGACAGGGCCGTAAACTACCATAAACTGCCTTTCATGCAACGGTCCTTTGTAATGCTGGTATACGTTTCAAACAGAAAAAAAAAGAACCTTTGGAGTATTCCAGATCCATGATACTGAAACAAGTTTCCTTGTTACAGTATGATGGATCTGGTGTACTCCAGCGGTTCGTTTTTTCGCATTATACGTAACTCTTGTTCAAGTATTTGAGAAAAATTGCCGCTATTTAACAGAAAATAACGCGTAAAATATTCATATTTTGACAATATTGTACGTGAAATAATTAAAAGGTCTACGGTAATTTTGATGGATAGATGCTTTAAAAAGAAATCTCTATCTTCAAATTGTGTAGTTGAATGAGTGGGTCAAAAAAATTAAACTTTTGCAATTGTCGAAAATTCAGAAGTTTTAAAATTCGAACTAATTCGATATTTATAAATGCATTTTTTTTCTTTTTGTGGAAAAGTATAAAGAAAAAATTTGGATTTTGAAAATATTCAAAAATTAAAATATCCAATTCAAATTTACAAGGCCTTGAGTTCAGTCAGATCAATCACAGAATATCCATTTGGGGAAAAATCCTATATGCATTTTAGGGACTAGTATTATTTATGTTTGCACAGGTGTTTTGCAAATAACAACAAAACTTTCTCAGAATAAGGACTCCCAAATTAATTTAACATTTCTTTTCAGGAAATACTACCTGAAATTTATCTGTCATAACTTGCACATTCTAGCTATAATATTGCTTTTAAGAACTCTCTATTGTCCATAATTTACATAAGATGGATTGAATTACCAGGTATAGGTAAAAGTAAACATTCAGCATTTCTATTTATCATATGGCTGAGACATCAATAATCTCACAAGAGGTACTTTACCTCATATAGTCAAGTTGACATATACAAATTTAAAAAGAATTTTTTTTTCTGAAAAAATGAAATGAATATTAGATTAAATTAAATATGAGATGAATTTTTCTTTCACCAATTAAAGCTATTAAAATATTTTGAAGTTTGTGATCGTTTGGTGTAAATCTATCTTGAATAAAAAAAGTTATATTAATGAATTCATCACAATGATTTTAAAACATAGATTCCTTGCCTTAGAACATTAAATATATTACATAGTATATATTTACACGAGTTAATATTTTAACAACTGAGCATTAACAGCAGAAAATAAGGGCAAAATATATGATAGAATTTCAACTGATTATTTTGTGAGTGGCAAAATTATTAATTTTTTAGATTTAATTACATAAGCTATAAAATGAAAATTTGTCTTCTTCCAAGATTTAATTGTTGGGTAAACATGGAGGCAAGGGAAACATTAGATTTATGATCTAAAGTTTGGATATATCAATGATTGGATGTACTGGGATGTATCAATTCTTTAAATTTTTAAAATGTAGTTTTGTGAAAACAGCACTTTTCAATCATCATTTAAAGAACGTTAGTCAGCAGTAACTTGTTTTACTAGATTTGAGCCATCCGTTTATATTTACCAAAAGAGCCGATTTAGAGGAATATATGGAAAATATCGAAACATAGACTTAAAGCGCGCTATTTTGTTTGTGAAAAAACTACATGCAGTTACGCAAAGAACTTTTTTGGAACATTTCTCGTGACATCACTCGATTTATTTTTTTTTATACATTTATTTTGAGTGTTTCGCTCTAACTTGAAAAAATGGCATTTAAAAAAAATCTTTAATTTAAATAAAAAATTTGAAACATGTATTTTTTAATCGACGAAAAGGTAAAAAAAAGAGTATGAGAAACAATTTGGGAGGTATCTTGTGTGATCTTCTGAAAGTAGTTTCGTTTTTCCTCCCGGAGTTTAGGATACCTCCCGCGGACAATGGATTCACGAAATCGGCCGCTTCCAAAGCAAAATCTTTCTTCTTTTTCCCAATCGATACAAACAAAAGCATTTATTTTACTTTGTGAGTACGAGGAGAATGCTCATATTCTTTTGGTCCAGTAAAAGACGCTATGAGAAGCGTCTACCAAACTTTTAAAGAAAAAAATAAAGACACAAAAAATAAAAAAACAAAACCGTTCCTGCCATTTGCCTGAAATTTGGCCGGCATCTACGAGTTTTCCCGGCAGCAACTGCTGCTATGTTTTGTTTCAAGCATTTATAAGTTTCTGCACAGGATTTTTATGTTATTTTGAAAGAAATTTAGGCAAGTATTAGAATTTGAATTAACCGGCAGAATTCCGTGCAATTGCTGGAGCTGCGCCCGTGCGACATAACGATTGTGTTTTGTTGTGCTCCAGATTTTAACGCCCGTTCGATTTTGACTATTGAAGAAACAAGTCAAAACAAGTGCACCGTATCCCTCAAGCAATTTAAAAAGTATAGCCAAGTTCATGTTTTTCTGGTATCATAATTATGATATAACACTGCAATGCGCTAAAAGACACGATGGAAGGAATACATCACCTTTTGTTGGAAGGTGCAGTGAAAGTTGAACTGGAGGTAAGTTGTTCCTGCTCGTTTGAGGTTAGAGATGCTTAAGTGTTTGAGGTTGGGAACACAACCAGTTCAATTGAATGTTAAAAAAAAAAATATTGAGAATATTCGAAGCCTCCTAAAATGTGTAAACTGAATAAGAAGGGAAAGAAAAGTTGTATTTTAAGGAGACCATAATGAAATTTTTGATTGTTGGAAGAATGAAATGTTTTTGTAGTGTTAATGTTTCTTGAAATTTAAAGAATTTAATGTGGAGAAGTTTTATACCTTTTAAAATGTGACTAATAATAAAATATTAAATATTAATAAAGAATTCATATTTCAAAATGGTAATGTGCAGTAATAAATGTTTCAGTCTTGAATTGTGATAAATTCTAGTGATTATTTATAGTTGTCAGATTTATTCCATTTTATGGATATATGTGTTTACAGCTGCAAGACGACCATCTGGGTGAATATATGAATTCAGCTGGTTTGCAAGGAAATTTACCATTTCCGGTGAGTGCAATTTCTTTTCTTTTATCTACTTTTACTGCAATTTTTGTTTTACTACTTCAGGCTTTTGGTTTTGAATTATTCCATTATTTGTGTGCTGTAAGGTTGGGAAATATTGCTTTTGAGGAAAATATTATGGTTTATTGCTTTAAAATTTTAGTAATGTATTTTGAGGGGAAAGAGTTTTAAATGACCTAGCACATAAAGGGTACAAATATATTTTTTTTATCCAAAGTTTTCATATTGCTTAGATTTTGATCTTTTATAAATAATGGATCAAATTCATAAGAGGAAATTTCACATTTATGGTAATAACTCATAAGTAATAGACTCATTTTGTTGTTTGTTATCTGTTGTAAAGTGTCATCAAAATATTATTATGAGGGTGATTGAATCGTATAAATGATAATCTTAGTTCTTCAAAGTTATGAATTATGGGAAAAGCCAAAAAAAAATAAGGAATTATAATGTAAGGAAGAAGTTGACCTGCTTCTAAAGTTTTCTGAAATTATTGAAGACTAAATTTGCCTTTTATTACGGAAAAGATCTTTTATTGATTAAATTTCAAAGAAATGCACTCCGAGCTGTACAAATGAGTTGTGTAAGAAATATTTTGGGAGCAGGGTCTCTATTTAGAGGTAAGTTAGAAGGGGTACATTTTTAAATATATTTTTAGATTTATTAATTACATAATTAATAAATGAATATTAATAATAAATATTGGTACTTTAGATTAATGGAAAAAAAGAAGAAAAAAAAAACTCAAAATTCTTTTACAACCATGCTATCAAGTATTTTGTTCTACGTTAATTAAAAACTATAGTTTTAGATCTTTCCTTCAACTACATCATATGTTTAAGATTAATGGAAGTGTATTTTGATGGAAAATGGATTTGTTTTGCATTTTTTTCAGTCGTTTGTTTGCTATTTGGTGTTGCACTTTTGGAAATTTTGATTCCTATCAGTTCTTAAGGTTTTCGGTTTCTTTAAAATTAATGTTGTCTGAAAAAACATGTTGGGAGAATATTGAATTATTTTTTCTTATCATCTAGAGGTATACATTCAATTGAACTGTTATTAATGAATTTTATTTGTACAAATTATAGATATTTGTAAGATTGTTAGTATGAAGTCCTTTTTTGTTATTCTATCCCCATTATATTTTGTTTTGAGTTGAAATACGAGGGCAAAATTTGATGCTTGCCATACAAATTAATTCTTGAATATAGAATGTGTTTAAAGATAATAATTGCATTGTTTCAAGGAATTTCATCAATTAATTGCTGTAATTTTGTAATATTTCTATCTTATTAATGTCAAATTAAAAATGATAGTTCAAATGTGTATGATGTGTTATAAAATAAAATTAAAAAATAAATAGATAAATATAAAAAAATTAAAAAATCTATTGGGGTTTGAGTTTTCTGAGAAGTTGAAAAGGGGAAAATGATTCAGAAATCTAAATTTTGTGGATATCTTTTTTAAATAATTCTAACTGCAAAAATTTTACTGAAATTAAGTGCATGTGTTTTTTAATATCTTATTATGAACGTAAAAAATCTCCCAAAAAGATACTATTACTTTTGTTTCTAAATTACCCCCCAGCCAAAGTTGTGATCTCTTATATTTTTTACTAAAAACAAGTCGTTACTGAGTTTCAGAATGTGACTTGAATTTTTAAAGAATGCCTATTTAGTAAAGTAAGGATCATACTAACAATGTAGATTTAAAACATGAAAAGGAAATAATTCAAAACATAACAGGTTATTGAAGGAAAAGAAGTTGATTTGGTGGAACAATACATTTTATTTTTTTCTGGTAAGTTATTGCATTTGATATGGAGTTCGATGTACACCGTACAACTTACCTGGATTGAGAGGATTGTGGTTACAAGGGAAATATGAAAACAACTGAATGATCATGCATGTTCTATTATAGAGGGAAATGTGTAAAAACAAACCAATTAAAGTTGACATATTTTTAAATAGTAAATAAGTAAATCTGAATCATTAAAATTAGGTAAAAGAATAAAATCTTGTATGTACAGTGGGCGTTAACTGGTTCCAATGATCTCGGGCGGCAAAAAGCTTTTGGACCAAAGACCCTTGGGCTTTTTGTTGCTGCTCAATCATAATGATAATGCCCTTATAATGCCCTTGGTGCATAAATAACTATTAGTAGTTGATTCCATATTTGTGATGGAACATTGGATGTATGCATGAAATTTGTTAACCATTACCGTGACTATTAGGCAATTTTACCTTTTGATCAAATTACTGTATTGTTCTTAATATTAGAAATTTTCTGCAATTTTTTATGCTAATAAAAGAGTATTACTATAATATAAATGTAATGATTTTGACCATTCAAGAAGAAATAATTTTGAAGTATAATCTCTAAATATTGTTAAACTCTCATTCTGTTGTTTAGGAAAATGAATGTAATTCAAAGAACTATGGATTATTTGCTTAATAGATTTATTTCAGGTAGTACATTAAAAGTTGAATACTCGATAAACAATATATTAAATTCCTTGCCATTTAAAATTTTTTATAGTAATTCACATTCACTATTTACACAGTGTACTATGAATAGGTCAATCTAAGTCAACATAGTTCGTAACAATTTTTCTCCATCACAAAAAAAATATTAATTTTTTACTGTATAACTAAATGAGAAATCTAATAATAGAAGTGAAATTCTTAAACACCAGTCTTCTCACAAGATTTGTTATAGTTAATTATCTTCAGAAAAAATAATATTCCTGAGATTGTACACACCAAAAATCCTATCTCCAGAAATTATTGTCTCTATGGAACTCTACATCATGTGAGCACTGTTTCATGGCGTGCCTTGATGTCGAACATTTATTAATGTGAGGGGGAAATTAGAACTGTGGTATTAGCCAAAAAAGAATGAACATGCAACTATTTGTTGCAACAGCTCTAAAAGAGTAATTAAGTTCATTGAAGAGATAAATGGATAGGGGAGTGGAAGGAGTGAAGTCTACATTCACCTGTTAACTTGGAGTATCATTGTTTATGTTCCTCGTCAACCTACATTGTTTTCCTTACCTTAAATTAGTGCATTTTTATAAAAAAAGTTTATAAACTCTCAAATTTCTTTCCTTTATTAAAATTTCTTGTTTTCAAAATGCCTAAATAGACTTGTACATCTTCAACAAATTTTGAAATTTCCAAAAGATGGATTATGATTTATCCAAGATCTCGTAACTATTGTATGCATAACTTGTGATGGATCCAAAACTTCTGTCTGTAGGTAAGTGAGAGGGTGAGTCACTGGGAAGCAAGTGATGGCTGAGTCGTATTGCTCTTATTCCCGGCAGTTTGACACTTTGGAGGGCACTAGGTGTATAATTAAGCAATACAACAATTTGCCAATAATTGCAAAAGTGATGTTAAGAATCGCTTCAACAATGTCCCAGCAAACACAATAGCGTTGGTGTGTTCAAAATGTGCTGCAAAATTAATTCTGGTGCTAATGGGCTAATCAGTTCTTTATGTCAGTTTGCTGTTTTCAGTAATATGGCATTGCTGTTGTTACTAGTTTTGCTACTGCTGTTGTTGCTTTGATTGCTGCTGATCACCATGAAACTGCTTGTTGTTAGTCACTGAATGAGAGTGCTAGGACTCAGGCGATGTTGAACAGCTGCCCCTTTCTATTCTTCTTGGTTTCCATTGATTTTTGGAAAGAATGTTTATTGTAGGGATTGGTATTGATATTTAAGTCACTTTTTACTTCTCAGTTGTCGTTAAAGTTTGTGTTCTGGGTGAGTTCTCATGTTTAGCACTGTTCCTAAGAAAGGTAGATACAACTAGAAGATTTAGAGAATAGAAGAAAAGAAAACTATTTTATAGGGATGTGTAGTGCTTTTACACATTTTCATTTTAAAATATTATTATTTGTAATTTTGTGGAAAATTGAAAATAAAAATAAAGGAAAAGTAGTACTAAATTGTGGATAGAGTGATTGTTAGTCATGTCTTTATTTTTTTATTTTGTATTCCTTTCCTTTTCTTCTATTAATTTTAAACCTCAGTTTTTATTTGTCTAAATTTCATGTTGCATCTTCTTGTCCAAGAGAAATCTCCTCCAATCTAATTTTCAACCGCTTTGAGCATTTTTCATTTCCTCAGTACTTAATTTTATGTTTTTGATGTCTCTCATTGAGACTGACTTTGAATCTAAATTGTCTTCATACTTTAAATTGAAATTTAAAAAACTTAGGAGCCTAGGATACAACTTGAATATCTACATCTGGATGTACTTTAGCAAGCATAGGTAAAAATCTCAATTATCAAGTTGAGTAAAATATGTTGCAAATGAGTGCATTGGTTTGTATGTATTTTGAACCACTTAGAACATAATGTATTTATTTATTTTTCTCTGATAATGGAATTCTCATGTAGACATGCTGTTCAAAATCACTCTTGAACTTAAAATAACATTTTCATCATTACAAGGGAAAGGATTTTGATGATGTAAAACATTGACCTAAAATTCAATTAAATGCTCTTAAAATGCCCTAGAAACAAAGAAAAAGGATGTAAAATATTGATCAAAACTACTTCAGATAAACAACTCAAGCTGTTGGAAATGTTACTGATGTTATTGAGGCTTCTTCCTTTTGTTCAAATGAACTAAGCCTGCAAACTTTTGGTTTGGACTTTTTGTTAAAAGAAAATCTCTGCCTTTATTTATCATGAAATCAGCAGAACTGAAAATGGTGCCGAAAGGCATCACAGGAACCTTAGACTACATAGTACTCACAACGACTGACATTACAATATATGAGCTAAGAAATCAAATAGGCTACTTAGGAAATCTGTGGTGAGCATTTGTTGCACCTCATAAATATCGTTTGAAGCAAGTACCATATACATGAAATTAAAATCAATGAAATCAGCGAAAACTGCATTAAAAGTGACATAAAAGATAAAACAATGACTGAAGTTGAAATCGATGAAAAATGCACAAAAAGAC